CCCCAAGGGACATGCCCTCGCCTGGCATCTCCGCAGGTGGGTTCTCCACCTGTGCCGCGTAGTTGCATTTCTCCATAAAGCTCACCGACTGAGCACGCTGCAGCGCCACGGACCACCTCTGGCGGAACTGGTGCAGCAGCTTCGTAGCCTGGTAGGATGAGGGGGCCGCGTTGAAGAGCCTGCGGGCGGCGGTCTCGGCTAACAGCTTGAAGAATTGGGGCACTTCCTCGCAAGGGCAGCCGTAGGTGTCAACGGCGAGTGGGAAGAATCCGACCCACGAAGCCGTTGAGCCTTCGTAGTCGGAGATCTTCTTCTCCGCTGCTTCACGGGCTGCCCACCCCCTGCCCTTGACTGCGTTGGGGTCACGGGTGCTGATGGGGTCCGTGATTGTCACGTCCCCAATCCAAACCGCCCCCGAGGACTTGTCCCTGATTGCTATGTCCGCCTTCTTCCTAGTGACGGGGCAGAATGCGGTTGTCTCTCCATGAGTCATGAAGTCCGCGTCGTTGGCCATCCGGAGGCACTCATCCCGCAGCTCATTATGGGTGTTGGTCCTCCCCTTCCCTGTGTCACAGCGCAGAAGGTGGTTGGGCAGCCGTCGGTCTGTGATTGCCGTGTTGTTGCGGCAGTCACAAGCCCCAGGTGCAGAGGAGGGAAGCCCCATTCGGAACTGCAGTGCGTGGGCGAAGTGATCTGGAGCCAGGCGCAGCGACTTGTTAAAGGGGACCGCGTTGAGCCAGTCCGCTGCCCCATACCCCGAGAGGGAGAGCATACGTTGCGTGTGCCCGCTAAGGGGGTTGAGCGGCATGTCGCGCGTGGTTTGGACCTGCTCGGCGTAGCGGCGTCCGTGGACCGCGATTGCCAGCCCGTGCTGCAGCTTGATGCCTTTGGGTTCGGCGCGGTCGCTCTGCAGCAGCTCCTTCCCGTCCTCCGGCAACATCTCCTCGCACCTTTCCAACCAGTCAAACAGCGGGGACGTGTTGAGGTAGGGTCCCGCCATCTGGATCCGTGTTTCTGCCAAGGCGCCGACCGCCGCCTCGTCAATGGAGGTGAGCAAATGCTGCGCCTGCGTGTAGCTCGCCAAGAACCCTACGCGACCCTCCTCCGACGGGTCCGTCAGACCCAAGCCTCCAAGTGAGATCGGGAGTGAGGCTTGGGCCCAGGTCCGTGCTATCTCAGCCTCCCCCCGTGGGTGTCGAATGCCGCAAGCCGTCAACAGTGTGTCAAACAATCCCTTGCCCCAGTCCGACCATTCCTCCACTGGCAAGGGAGAGAGCGGAGTGGTGCGCGCGACATAGGAGACTCGCCGCGAGATGCATCTGGTAAGCAGGAGAGACGCCAGCTGTGGCTCCATTCTCGCAATTAGGCGAAGTGGGGCTCCCATTGTGTTAAGGCTGTCGCGTAGGAACGCTGCAGTTGCGTCGTTTCCGCCGACGAAGCTACCCAGCACCTTCACGCCGTCATCAATGAAAGGTACGCCCTGCGGCAGGGGTGTTGACTGACGGCCTGCCTGTGACCATGCCGCACACTTAGCGGGGTTGTGTTGTAGCCCAATCTCCCCAAGGCTTCCTGTGAAGTGCCCAAACGCCGCCGCACAAGCCGCTGCTTCTCCAAGAAAAGTGACGTCGTCCGCGTATGCCAGGCATACCACGGACGGGAAGGTAAGTGCCGTGCTTGTCAACGCGGGGTGAATGGCGGCAGCAAACTGCAAGGGGCCGAGGGGATCTCCCTGCCTCACCCCGGTTTCGCTCAAGAGTGGTGGGTGCGAGAATCCGGCATCCAGGCATAGGGAAGAGGGGTGGCCATATGACAGTTTCACGAGTGGCAGTAGCGGAGCTAGCGTCGAACCTCGAAGCGACTCCGCGATGGCCCCTCGGTTAACACTATTGAAAGCGTTCGCCAGGTCGGCCTGCAGAACGAGCGCTCCAGGGTTGACGGTAAGAAAGGTTCGCGTGATGTGGATGATCGCCTCTGCTCCCCCTGGAACCGCTACACCGAATTGATGAGGTAAGAAGAAATCTCGAGCGGCGCCCGCCGTCAAGGTAAGAGCTGTTTTGGCAGCGAGGCGAGTGATGCTTTCGCCGATGGCTATCGGCCTCGTCCCCCCTCCTGGTTTGGTAAGGGCAATCAGGCGAGAGGCGGTGAGGAGTTCGGCTATTGCGAGAGGTAATTTTCCAGTGAGTATGGTGTTGACTAGCGCATGCAGGTGCTTCCCCACTGAAGCGTTGATCAGAGATGCGTCCCGCAGGTGTTCGAATGTTGTTCCTGATGGCCCAGCTCCTACTCCCATCTCACACCGACCCAAAACCTTGGAGAAGACCTCGTAAGGCGCCGAGAGGTGAGGGTCTGGTGTGGGATATATCCAGTCAGGTGGGGAGGCGGGCGCAGGTGGGTGCTTGGCGCGTAGTGCCTCCAGCACAGCCGGCGATGGCGTGCAAACTGGCGTGGCCTCTAAGGCCATGACGGCCCGTCGCAGGCTGCCACGTCGAGCTAGCCCCTCAGCTCTCGCGATGACCCCAATGTCATCCGGCTGGTGTCTGGGTGGCTGGGGACGGGTCAGTGAGTCCACGGTGTCCTTGTACAGCTCATCCCAGTCCCCACACATGAATTTGCTAAGTCGTGCGCTGACTGCCTTCCAATCTGGACGCCTGGGTGACAGCTGGCGAAGTGTGAGTCGTGCGAGGAACAAGAGGACGACCCAAGCAGAGTGTGAGTCTGGATCGTTCGCCAACCGCAGCAGAGGTACCAGCAGGGCGGTGGCGAAAAGTTTGCGAGGGTCGGGTGGGAGGTGGCGGGAGAGTGGTGCGTGGCGACTGTCGCGCAATTTCGTCAGGTCCCATCTTCCAACCCCAGCGAATAGCACGTCGTCCTTGGCGAGTGTTTCTGGGGATTTTTCCTCTCGCGCGTGGGTTGGGATGGGGTTACCGCCAGGTGCAGATTGTGGGGCGGCTCGGGAATGGGTTGGAGTGTGGGAAATTGGTGGTGGGGGTGGGGGGTTTGCAATGTTGCCCGATGCGGCTCGGGTTGGTGTTGGGGGTCCCCTCCGTGTGGATCTCGCAACTGAGGATCCTCCCGCCCTGTGAGTTGGGGCTGCTCTGGTTGCTCTAGCAGGAGTCTGAGTTTGGGGTTCATCCACAGACTCAGAGCTAGAAGTCGAGTCTGTGGATTCCGCAGGTACAAAGCTGCTGCCTGATGATGTCTCCTCATTATCATCTTCCAGCTCGTTTAAAGCCCTCCGTCCCGATTGTTGATACACATTCTCAGGTCCTCCTCCGCTAGCCCGTCGTCCGCGTCCCGCTGCTCCCCGTCCGCCACGTCGACCGCCTGCTGAGCGAGCGACATCCTCCCCGCGCTCCAATGTCTGCTGATGGCGGCCATGGTCGGGAGCGCATCGCGGAGAGCGGTTCTGCTCCCCGTCCGCTCCCCCCCCGCGCGTCCCGCTGCGAGCGTGCCCGTTGCTCCGCTGGCATCTGCTGATCAGATACGCCGTCGCTTCGAGGATCTGCGGCGCGACCTGACTCCACGTGGCGGAAATTCCCTGCCGCAGAAGGAGCCTGCCCGCCAGGCGTCCGTCGTGCGCTCCGGCGTAGAGGCTGCGGCGCCCCGGGCACGATCGCCTCGCCGTCGTTCGTCTGAGGCGCGTGACGACAGGCAGGGGAGCCGCCGTGGCGGTCGTCACCTTGAGCCGCGATCGTCACGATCTCCGCGCCTGCATCGTTCGCCGCGATCTCCTTGTCGCGTCGTGTCTCGTAGCCAGTCTCGTGACCACCGATCCCGTCGTCATCGTTCGCCCGCTCGTCCTCCCTCTCGCCACCGATCGCCAGCTCACCATACCACCCGCCCGCGTTCGCCTCCTCGTTCGCCTCGTCCGGCAAAGCGCCAACGGCTCGACTCTCCTCGTCGCAAGGGCCGATCCCCTGAACGCCGCCGTCAGCATGCCTCATCCCGCCCCCAGTCGCCCGCGCGCTCGAACGCAAGCGGTCGAGGTCGTCGTGGGCGTCGAGGCGGATATGGACGTGGTGGTGCGGCGCGTCCCGTACCGTCCGAGATGGAGCGTGTGTTGGAAAAGCTTGACGGCGTGGAGAAGGCTCTCCACCGTTCGAATGCTGCATCGTCGTCGCGGTCCATTCCGCCCTCTGGTCGCGTCGCTCCTCTTGCTGCTCTTCTGCCGCACAACCCCGTTGGTTCCCCGGCGCGCTCAGATCGGCCGCTGCCTGCGGGAGGTGGATTTGTTGGTGCTGCTGGCGGGGATCCGTGGGCCCCGTACGCTCCGCCACATCCTCTCCCTGCTCCTCGCGATCTAGCCGTGTCTTCCCGCCGAGCTCGGTCGTCCGCCCTTCCTCCGCCGATGAAGGAAGTGCCCACGGCGACCCTAGCACGCCTGTGGTCGCTGGCGGAGTGCCTGCAGAGTCTTGGGTTGATCCTTCTGGAGTCCCATGACTCCATGCTCCTTGTGGAGTCCCTTGACTCCATGTCGGTGAACCCGCCGAGCACATTCTCTCAGAGGCCGCGAGCAAAGTGTCACGCGGCGGCGTCAACACTATTCTCGTATGTCGCATCACTGCCGGTTGCGCCCTCCGCGGTTGTAGCCTCGGCCAACCGGTTGGCTGTGAAGGTCCTGGATCTGAGGACGCTTGTTGCAACGCGTGGAACTCCAGTTGACGTTGTTGGCGCCATCGCGTCAGTGGTCCACCAGATGTGGCTGACCTCGCGCGAAACGCTTGGTGAGCTTGGGGCCGACCGCATGTAGGGGCCCCCTTTGCGCGTGTGTAGACCCGCTCCATTGTTTGTTGCCTAGTCCTTGCTTGTTGTTCTTGCTGTTGTTGTCATGTTGACCATCATCCTTATTGTCTTCTTGTCGTTCCCTAACGCGCGGCCGGAGGCCGCGCACGCGAGCGCCGGCGCGAAGCGCCGAAATTTTCAGCACCAACTGAAAGAATGAGAGATGAAGTGGCCACCGTGGCCTTAAGTACTCATGGCAGAAGGCTGGAAACAGAGGGCAGAGGGTAGAAGGGGAGAGGCTAATCCTCTCTCTCTCGCTCTCTCGAGCGAAACACCGAAATTTTCAGCACCAACTGAAAGAATGAGAGATGAAGTGGCCACCGTGGCCTTAAGTACTCATGGCAGAAGGCTGGAAACAGAGGGCAGAGGGTAGAAGGGGAGAGGCTAATCCTCTCTCTCTCTCTCTCTCTCTCTCTCTCTCTCTCTCTCTCTCTCTCTCTCTCTCTCTCTCTCTCTCTCTCTCTCTCTCCTTCCCCTCGCTCGTCCCTCTCCTGTCTCCCCTCCTTCTCGTCCATCATGTCCGCATGTCCGCATGCGTGCCATGGCATGGCATGGCATGGCAGGTGGGCGAGTTCTACGAGACGGTGGGCTTTGACGCGTGTCTGCTGGTGGAGCATGCAGGGCTCAACCCCATGGGTGGCGCCCGCCCCAACACCGTGCCCAAAGCCGGCTGCCCCACCATCAACCTAATGCAGGTAGGTCCACTGAAGGGGTGGGGTGCGGTTGGGTGCGGTCGGGGTGGTGGCTTTAATCTTTGTGCTCTGTCTGTGCTGGCTGCACCGAACCAAACCAACCTGTGGCAGGCACCGGGGAAAGGGAGGAGGGGGTGCGGGAGGGGGGGATGGGGGAAGGGGAAGCAGTTGGGATGCAGTTGGGATGCAGTTGGGATGCAGTTGGGATGCAGTTGGGATGCGGCTGGGGCTGGGTTGCTGTGGGGGTACGGTGGGCTTTGACGCGTGGCTGTTGGTGGAGCATGCACGGCTCAACCCCATGGGCGGCGCCGCCCCAACTCCGCACCCAGAGCCGGCTACCCCACCATCAACCTGCTGCAGGTAGGTTCTCTGGAGGGGTGGAGTGCGGTTGGGTGGGGTTGGGGTGAATGGGATAGGCTTTGAGCCTCGACTCTGGGTGTGTGTGTGCAGACACTGGAAGCGCTAACGAGCCATGGGCTGACCGTCTGTCCGTGGCGACTTCCGGTGTCTCAAAAGTCGGCCATAGGGGAAAAGACTTAAGACACCTCGCCTGTGAGTGGGGGTTTGGATTGGACACCCTCTTGAAGTACCCTCACATCGTATAGAAGAACTGTTCACCGCTTCTAAATCCTTTTCGCTGCCCATCATCCCCCCGTGTGCATGCAGAAGCTAGAAGCGCTAACGAGCCATGGGCTGTCTGTGGCCATAGAGGAGGACACTCGGGAGGAGGACACCTCGCCTGCGGGGAGGTGGCAGGTTTGGACATGTCTCAAGAAACCCCTTTCACCGCTTTACAAACCTTTCCACCACCCCATGATCCTCCCTCCTGTGCGTGCAGACACTGGACGCACTAACGGGCCACGGGCTGTCGGTGGCCATAGTGGAGGAGGCTCAGGACACCTCGCCTGTGGGGGGGCGGTTCGGACCCGTCTCTTGTAACCTCTTTCACTGCTTCAAAAACCTTTCCACCACCGCATCATCCTCCCTCCTCTCGGTGCGTGCAGACACTGGACGCCCTAACGGGCCACGGGCTGTCGGTGGCCATAGTGGAGGAGGCTCAGGACACCTCGCCTGTGGGGGGCCGTACCGGCGCTGCTAGCAAGAAGGGAAAGCCACGCTTCTTGGGAGGGTGCGTGGGTGGGAGGGAAGGAGGGAGGGTGGTGGGAAGGTGGGCGGGCAGGTGGGCGGGAGGGTGGTTGGGTGGGTGGGCGCGTGGGCGGGCGGGTGGGTGAACAGGAGAGGAGGGTGAGAGAACCAAAAGTCCTTCTCGTTCTCTGTTGCTGCACTCTCCCTCCCCTCCCCTCCCCTCCCCTCCCCTCCCCTCCCCTCCCCTCTCACTCCCACACATGCTCGCTTCCATACATGTCTTCTTTCAGTAGTCCATACGCGTTGGGACTCGTTGCGCGGTTTCCTTAGATATGTCGACATTTGAGACGCCCCAGAAATAGATCAGAGAAGTCTCATGACCCGCTCTGCTGTGCTGCTGCTACGTGCTCCTCTCCTCCTTCCTCTCACATTCGCCACCACCCCACCCAGAGCCACACACGCACACACTCTCTCTCCCAGCTGTTTCTCCCAATGGTCTCTCTCTCTCGCAGCTCTTTCTCCCAATGCTCTCTCTCTCCTATGCACGGAGAGTAGTTCTGAGTCTCAACGTATTCCTTCGCACCGTTCACTTCCAGGCACGCGCACCCCGGCAGCCTAAGCATGTATTGCTTAGAGCTTGGGGGACTTGTTGTGAGATGCCTGCCTATTTTGGAAACGCCCAGCATGCGTATGCTCTCTCTGTCTCCACCCCATCCCACCCCCCACACGCACGCACATGCTCTCCCCCTCTCCCAGCCACGCGCACCCCGGCAGCCCGTACGTGTACGGCTTGGCGCGCAGCAACATGGAGATCGAATTCCCCGAGCCAATTCCAATCTTGGGCATAGAGCGCCCGAGTGCGAGTGGGTACACGGTGGTGAGCGCGTGGGAGATGACGCAGACCTTCTGTGTCGAACCACTTCTCACCGAGGAGGCTGCTGTGGCCAAGCTCAGGGCCAGTGGCTGCCACCGCTGCTTCGTGCACTCCTCCGTTACTGGTGCGTCAAAGGAAGGGGGTGGGGTGGGGGTTTGATTTGATGGGTGCGCGGGAGAGGGGGTGAGTACGGAAGTGGGTGCCTTGGGGTGGTGGGGGGTTGGTGCACGTGCAGTGCAGCTTGTTGTTTTTCCAGAAACCAGTTTGGTGCTTGCTTCTGGCCACTTCCCCTCGTCCTTTCTCAGTTGGTCTTCTAACCCCATTGTTTCTGGGCACTACACTACTTCGCGTCGCTCCCCCCTCTCCTTCACCTCTGGTTCCCCTTCCACCCACCCCCCCTCCCTCTTTGCTCCGCTCCCTGTCTTGATTTTCATCACTTGGTTGCGGAACAAATCCATGCATGGTTCTTGTAATTTTTAAGTAACACCCCCCCACTTCAACCACCAAGAGCTCTCGTCTCCCTTCTCCCACCAACCCCTTCTTCACACCATCCTTCCCCCCACGCCATCCTTCCCCCCACGCCATCCTTCCCCCCACGCCATCCTTCCCCCCACGCCATCCTTCCCCCCACACCAACGCCTTCTCTCTCCTTAACGGTCCTTCTCCCTCTCTCTTGCGGCTTGTACGGAGAGCAGATGCAGGGGGGTGGCGGGAGCATGGGGCGGGGGGAATGCTGTTCTCAGAGTGTGTGGCCAAGGGCTATGACAAGTACGAGGGCGACCACGTCAAAAGCCTGCTCAATAAGGTGACGCTCTAAGAGAGGGATGGCATGTGGGGGCAGGGAGGGGGCATGTGGAATCTTATCAGTAAACGCCAAGGGTTATGACAAGTACGAGGGTGACCATGTGCAGAGCCTGCTCAATAAGGTGACTGCATGAGTGTGCGCGCGGGGCGGCGACTTAGAAAGGACCATGGGGCGGGGGGAATGCTGTTCTCAGAGTGTGTGGCCAAGGGCTATGACAAGTACGAGGGCGACCATGTCAATAGCCTGCTCAATAAGGTAACCTTTTTGAGCGTGCGAGGAGGCGAGGGTAAGGGGGAACTGGGAAATGGTGTGGGGTAAAGGCTTTGACATGTACAAAAGGATTCATCAAACAAGAGCGGCTCGTCTTCTTTCTTTCCTTTGTTTCTTTTGTTTTTAAGCCTCCCTACTGTATAGGAACTCACGTTTGCAATGCAACTCTATTGTCTTGTCCTCGGGCCAACCCGTCCTGCCCGTATACCCCACTGTCTCCATGCAATACACCACACTGCACCTCATGTGACCTCGTTTCACCTCATTTCACCTCGTTTCACCTCATTTGACCGTGCAAACATCAGGTGCGAGACCTGTACGACCTGGGCGCAGTCTCCTTCCAGCAGCTGCAGCTGCCACCCCCCGACTCCCGGCCTCGGCCGCTCTACGTTTCCACCGCCTCCCAAATAGGTGTGTGCCACGTCTGCACCGTCCATTTGTGCACACGATGCCACGTGGGCATGATGCCACGTGGGCATGATGCCATGTGGGCATGATGCCACGTCTGCACAATACTGCAGCCTCTCTCTGACTTTTGAGCTGATTCTAGAAGAGTCACCTCGTCTCCCCCCTCCTGCCACTCCCCACCCCACTGTCCCCATCCTTCATCCGTCTGTGCAAACGGCAGGCATTTCACCAACGCGGGGAGTGCCGTGCCGAGTCGACTTTTGAGTCGACTCAAAAGTCAACGCGGGGAGTGCCGTGCCGAGTCTGCCCCACCGTCTGCTCCCGGACAATGCATCACCTCGTTCCTGCCCTTCCTCCTCGCCCCTCCCCACCCCCCGGTTCCCCCTTTCCCCCCCTATCCCTGTGCCAAGCGCAGGCATTTTACCAACGCGGGGAGTTCCGAGTCTGCCGCACCGTCTGCTCCCGGATAATGCAGCGGGCCTCCCTGTGTGCCTTGCATACCTGCGCTCGCTGCTGCTCAGCCCGCCGCCTCCTCACGTCGCCACCAGCATCCAAGGTGCGCGCATGCCTTGACGTCTTCAGATCCCCTTTGACATGAAGTTTTGCGTGTAAGTATAGACGACTTTTGAGTTGAGACGTCTCAAAAGTCGCCACCGGCATCCAAGGTGCGCGCATGCCTTGACGACTTCAGATCAGACCCCCTTCAACACCAAAATCCGCGTGTTGAGGTACTTATAGGCGACTTTTGAGTTGAGACGTCTCAAAAGTTGCCACCGGCATCCTTGGTGCGCGTTTTGAGGTCTTCAGATGAGATCCCTTTTTCTTTGCTTCTCTCCTCATCCCTCACCTTACTCCTCCTCTCCTCACCCCCTTCACCTCAACCTCACCTCACTTCATTCTTTCCACCACCCCCATATCCACACTTCCTTAACCCAGGTTTCCCACCTTTCTCCTGCACCGCCTTTCTCCAACACCCCTCTCGATTGGTCCCCGCTCCCGATCCTGCCTATCCCCCTATCGCCCGCTCTTCCTCTCCTCTATCCCCCTTTCACCTCACCATCGCTCCTTCCACCCACGTTCTTACCCCCCGCTTCCCCCCCCCCCCCCCCCCCCCGATGCTTGACCTGCACAGATGCGTGCCGCCGAATGTTTCATCTGCCCGTGCTGCCCGAGTTCCTGTGTGTGCCGCCCTCGCGCCTGGTGAAGCTGATCTCAGCCAAAGAAGCCACGTCCACTGAGCTGCTCCGAGTGCGCGCACTAGCCAAAACCTTCCTGGATATGCTGCAGGACTCGGGTCCTGCTAGCAGCAGCAGCAGCAGCAGGAGCAGGGGCGGTGACGGCAGCAGTAGCGGCTACAGTAGTGACAGCACCGGCAGTGGCAGTGGTTTGAGCGGCAGTGTGGTGAGGGAAGGGGGGATGCGGCAGCTGGCTCTGGATCTGCTGGTGCCCACGCAGCTAGCATGTGGCTTGCCTCTCCATGTGGACACACTGGTGAGTCGCACACAACACTGTCTGTCACACATGCGCAAGAGTGTACACCTCTTCTAGTTGCTTACGAAATCATCAGTCCAAGGAAGGGAGGGGGGGAGATTCAAGAGGAGCATTTAACAGGTGAGGCACGGTAGGAGGAGCGATCCAAACGAATTCTGGAGTTCGTTCACCCGCCCTATCAGGATGCTCACTCGCCTTACCAGTCCCCCACCTCCCTGTCCCTCCCTCCCTCCCTTCCTCCCTCCCTCCCTCCCTCCCTCCCTCCCTCCCTCCCTCCCTCCCTCCCTCCCTCCCTCCCTCCCTCCCTCCCTCCCTCCCTCCCTCCCTCCCACCCACCCTCCCTCCCACCCTCCCTCCCTCCCTCCCTCCCTCCCTCCCTCCCTCCCTCCCTCCCTCCCACCCACCCTCCCTCCCACCCTCCCTCCCTCCCTCCCTCCCTCCCTCCCTCCCTCCCTCCCTCCCTCCCTCCCTCCCTCCCTCCCTCCCTCCCTCCCTCCCTCCCTCCCACCCACCCTCCCTCCCACCCTCCCTCCCTCCCTGCCTCCATCTCTTTGTTGCGACCGCAGGCACGGGAGTGTGAGGCGATATGTGCGATGGTGAGCAACGTGTTGCTGGATGACACTGCCCGGCTCATGGGGGCACCTGCACCTGCTGCTGGCCGAGTGGAGGGAGCGGAGGATGAAGAGGAGCAGGAGGAGGAGGAGGAGGGGCTGAATGGGGATGAGATGCAACCAGTGCGGCTGCAGCAGCAGCAGCAGCAGTTTGGAGTACGGGGGGCGAAGGGCGGTGCAGAGGGATGGAAAGCAGAGGAGGAGTGGGGGGACGGAGGAGACAGGGGGTTGGCGATTAGTGGGAGTGAGTTTGCAGCGATGGAGGATTTTTTTGAGGTGATGGAGGCCCAATGGAGGGGTCGAGTGCGGTACGAGCACATACAGACGGAGTGCGAGAGGGTGGCCAGGGCTGCAGAGCGGTACAATGAAGTGGTAAGCTGTGGGTGCCGTGCTTTACTTCACTTCCTCTTTCCTCTTCTTCCTCTCTCTCCTAAATTTCCTCCTCTTGTTGTTTTCCCCCTCTCTCGCTTATCCTTCCTCCTTTCTCTCATCCTCTTCCTTCCCTTTTGCAACCCTCTGTGTGCAAAGTAGTATATTCTACTGTTCCCCTTTTTTTTTGTTTCTTTTGGGCGTCTTAAAAGCAAAACCCTTTTCCTCTCTGCGCCCCCTCCTCTTTTCCTTTTTTTCCCTGTCCTTCCCTGCCTCGCCCCATGCATGCACCACGCCAGGTGAAGCAGGATCTGATGCCCTTTGTCAACCGCAGTCGCAGCCTCTCCCCACGCACCTCCAGCACAGCGGCCAAAAAAGTGGAGATAGCAGCGTACCGAGACTACGGGGTGCTGCTCAAAGGGACCCGCGCCAAGGCATTGGTGCGTGCATGCATTCGGCCCTTGAGAGGGTATTGAGAGGGTGATGAGAGGGTGGTACAGAGGGTGTTGAGTGTTGAGACGTCTCAAAACTGGAGATAGCAGTGTACCGAGACTACGGGGTGCTGCTCAAAGGGACCCGCGCCAAGGCACTGGTGCGTGCGTGTATTGTATTCGGCCCTCTAGAGGGTATTGAGAGGGTATTGAGAGGGTATTGAGAGGGTATTGAGAGGGTATTGAGAGGGTGCGCTTTCTAAGGATTCGGGTGAACGCCGGTGCGTGCTTGTGACTTTTGAGACGCTTCAGAGGTCGCTACGGGACCACTGGTTGCTGTTCAAAGGGAATCGAGCCATCCCCCTCCTCCCATCCCCCTCCTCCCATCCCCCTCCTCCCATCCCCCAATCCGCCCCCTCGTCCTCCCATCCCCTTCCCGATGTGCAGGTGAGCGCGCAAGACCCCAGCGACCCCCTGCACGCGCTGGTGCAGAAGCTGGTGCCGGCGTCAGTGGATAGCAAGGGCAAGAAGGTGGGTGACGGCTGGTACTCCACTCATGACGTCGATGAAGCGCTTTCCGAGTAAGATCTCATCTCCTTGTTGCTACTGCCCTGGAAGACGGGTGGTGTTCCGTTCCATGACTGCCCCGTTGGTAAAGCACTTACCAGATGGGGTGATTGCTATTCTGAATGGGGTTTGGGGTTTGGGGTTTGGAGCTGGAGGAGTTGCTTTGCTGTCATGTCAACGCAGGGCGGCTGGTGCTCCACTGCTGCTGCTGTTGATGAAGCTCTCGCTGATTGTGGTTACCTTCTTTGTACCACCCTGGAGGGCGGAGGGGCAGGGCGTGGGGTGAATTTGAAATTTTCTGTCGACGACTCAAACGGCTGTTAATGGCGCCCTCTTACCGAGGAAGCGGTTGCTCTCTTACCGAGGAAACGATTGCTCTCTTACCGAGGAAACGATTGCTCTCTTACTGAGGAAACGATTGCTCTCTTTGTGCTGCCTTGGATGGGGTTCGGGATTGGGATTGGGATTGGGATTGGGGCGTTTTTTTTAAGTTGACTAGACCTGAAACCTTGAACCCTGAACAGCTGCTGGCAGAGCACTTGGCAAGTATGGGCTGGGATGGGAGTCAAAGGTTGGGGAGGAAGGAGAAATGGGCAAGGAGATTGTGATGGGGAAGTACAGCAAAAGGGATGCGGTTGGTGGGGCAAGGAGATTGGATGGGTGTGCATGGCAAGAAGGGGCAAGGAGGGTTGTGGGTCCAGATAAGGGGCAAGTGGGGGTGCGCTCTCTCTCTCTCCCGTTCTTCCCGCTCCTTCTCGTCCTCTCTTTCCATTTTCCCGCTCACTCAACTGGTCTCACGCGCTCAGCCTCCTCTTCCCTGCTCTCTCTCCTTCCCCGCCTTTCCTCGTTCCCTGCCTTTCCTCCTTCCCTGCCCTTTTTGTTCGTGGTTGCATGGCGCCTTATCCTTTCCCCTCCCTCTCCCAGATCTCACTCACTCTCAACCTCCTTGCCCCTGCTCTAACTGCCTGATCTTTCGTCTCAGCCTTCCTCTCAGCCTTCCTCTCACCCATCCTCTCGGCCGTTCCCTGAGCTTGCTTCCTCATTCACGCTACAAGGACCCTGCAGCAGCAGCAGCAGCAAACTAGAGCAGCGCTACAGGAGCTCTCCCATGCGCTGCAGCCGTATCTCAGCACCATTGTGTCTACTAATCCTCCCCTTTCTCCTCCCCCACCCTCCCCCGCTCTTCCCTCTCCTCCTCTCCCCAGGTACAAGGACGCAGTGGCAGCAGCGCACTATGCGGTGGTGGCAGCGCTACAGCTGCTCTCCCAGGAGCTGCAGCCGTACCTCAGCACCATCGTGGCGGTTGCTAACTTTGGCATCGTCGCGCGCACCCTTGATGCACACGTCAGGTACGTGGGGTTTGAGTCGACTCAAAAGTCACTTCTCTACAGCCGTACCTCAGCACCATTGTGGCTTTGGCTAACTTTGGCATCGTCGCGCGCGCGCGCACCCTTGACGCACACGTCAGGTACGTGGGGCGTGCTTGTAATGTGAGACTGCTCCGCTAAAAGAATTGATTCTTGAGCTGGCTCAAAAGGAGCAATTGTCTTGCCCCTCCTTGCCCCTCCTTGCCCCTCCTTGCCCCTCCTTGCCCCTCCTTGCCCCTCCTTGCCCCTCCTTGCCCCTCCTTGTCCTTCCTTGCCCTCCTTGTCCCTCCCTGCCCCTCCTTGCTTGCATCTTTCTTGCACCATCTGCCCTTCTCCTAACCGCCCCGCCTTGCTTGATCTCACCACCATCTGCTCCCCCCCATTTCCAGGTGCTGCTCTCATCGTGGCTGGATCTTCCCCACTCTTGCTCCACCACCACCATCAACGCCATCAAGCAACCAGCAGCAGCAGCAGCAGCAGCACACACAGCACCACTCCTTTTCCCACAGCATCACCTCCGCAACTCCATACACCACCAACCTCCCTCCCTCCTCCACCTCCCCTCCCGCCCCCATCTCCCCAAACACCCTCCTCCTCGAAGGCCTCGTCCCCTACTGGCTAGACCACACGCCAGCCTCCCCTGCAGTCCCCAACACGCTCTCCCTCTCCTCTCTCGCGCTCCTCACGGGGCCGAACGGCGGGGGCAAGTCGTCGCTGCTGCGGTCGGTGTGTGCGGCGGCGCTGCTGGCGTCGTGTGGGTTGATGGTGCCGTGCGTGGGGGGGTCGGCGCACGTGCCGCGGTTTGACGCCATTGTGCTGCGCATGATGCCCGCTGATAGCCCCTCCGATGCCAAGAGCTCCTTCCAGGTGCGCTCAGGGATGAGTGCGTAGGCGTGACCCTAGGCTTCATAGCATAGCCCTAAGGTCACGCCTCTGCACTCCCGCTTCTCCATCCCCCATTCCCAACCATCTGTTCCTCCGTTCTCTTCCCACTTAACCCCTCCTCGCCCCCGCAGATGGAGATGATGGAGCTGCGCAGCATAACGCAGGACGCCTCCCCGCGCTCTCTTGTGCTCCTGGACGAGCTCTGCAAGGGCACCGAGCCCGACAAGGGCGCCTGCCTCGTGGCCTCTGCCCTGGAGTTCCTGGACCAGTCACGGTGTGTGGGGGTGCTGTCAACCCACTTCCACCGCGTGCTAGACTTGCCTCTGCAGCTTGATGGGGTGGTGCGGCTTGCTATGGGAACGCGGAGGAGGGCAGGGGATGGCGGGATGGAGCCCACGTGGCAGGTCACTCAGGGCGAGTGCCGGTGAGTTTTGACTGGAGTTTGACCTGGGTTGACTTTGGTTGAAAGTGTTGTGTTTGCGTGAGTCAGGTTGAATAGGGTTGACTTGAGTTGAGCCTGCTTGAAGCAGATGGACTTTTCTCAGAAGGATCTCTTGAGTTGAATTGTGGTGGCGCTGTGAGAGATTTGAACCGTCCAGTCCATTTGAAGTGGGAACCTGGAAGGTTACTCGGAGAAAGTGCCGGCAAGGCGAATTCTGTTCTGTGCCTGCCTGCTTCTGAGGCGTCTCAAAAATGCTATCTGCACTCTCCTGGCTGGGGGGGCTGGCTCTGAGGTTCGTTCGTTCGTTCGTTCGTTCGTTCGTTCGTTCGTTCGTTCGTTCGTTCGTTCGTTCGTTCGTTCGTCCGTCCGTTCGTCCGTTCGTCCGTTCGTCCGTTCGTCCGTTCGTCCGTTCGTCCGTTCGTTCGTTCGTTCGGCCGTTCCGCCGTTCCGCCGTTCCGTCGTTCGTTCGTTCCGTCCGTCCGTCCGTCTGCCCGTCCGTCCGTCCGTCCGTCCGTCCGTCCGTCCGTCCGTCCGTCCGTCCGTCCGTCCGTCCGTCCGTTCGTTCGTTCGTTCGTTTATTCATTCATTCATAGTCGGCCGAGTGCGTATGAGCGCCGGGGAGTGCCGACGAGTACAAGTGAGATGAGGGCCCGCGGTTCATACCCACTGCGTGCAATGCAACCTGTGCAAGCAACTCAACCTACCTCTTTGATTGAACCATCCCTGGGACAGCACCTGCTCCTCGCCTGTTGCAGGGTGTGCTTTTGAGAATGGCTGAACCATTCCTGGGGTAGCTCCTGCTCCTCTGCCTGTTGCAGCGGCTGCCTGTTGCAGCAGCAGCCTGGCGTTCGAGGTGGCATTGAGTGAGGGAGGGAGGGAGGGAGGGAGGGAGGGCACGCCTTTCCAACCCATCTGCACAATCTCTGCTTCCATCGCGACCATTCGTGTCACTCGTCCCTGCCTTGCCCACCCCTACCACTCTTTGAGAAGTCTCAAGAAATAGCTTTTCACTTGGTGCCTGTACCATCCCTGCCTTGCCCAACCCCTCTCTGCCCCTCCCTCTCCCCTCCCTGCAGTGACAGCCTGGCATTGAAAGTGGCAGCAAGGGAGGGCGAGCCTGCAGCAGTGGGGGACCGCACTCCCTACACTTCCCCCTGCAGTGACAGCCTGGCGTTTGAGGTGGCAGTGAAAGAAGGCGTGCCGACAGCAGTGGTGGACCGCGCTGCTGTGCTGCTGCACTTGTGAGGCACCTCAAACTCCCACTATCTCCCCCTCTGCCTTCTTCTGGGCCCCTCCTCTCCCCCCCTCTTGTTTCCCCCCCTCTCGTTTCCCCCTGCAGTGACAGCCTGGCGTTCGAGGTGGCAGTGAAAGAAGGCGTGCCGACAGCAGTGGTGGACCGCGCTGCTGTGCTGCTGGAGCACCTGCAGCAGCAGGAGGCTCAGCTGCGACACGCACATGATATCCTGGCTCTACAGCAGCAGCAGCAGCAGAAGCAGCGAGAGGAGGAGAGAACAGGGAAAAGATTGCTTATGCCATGGGATGCAGCGCAAGCTAGTGTAGGTGGTGGCGGCAGTGGGAATGGGGCAGCTGCGGCTGCTCCTTCTTCTGCGCTCAGTCACGGGGTTGGGGGTAGTGTTGGTAGTGGAATGGATGGGATACGTGGTGACGGGGCAGGTGGGGGCCAGCACGAAGCAGCGTTGAATGGTGGTGGATGGACGAGCATGGAAGAGAGTGGGGTCCTTTCGGGAGGTGAAAGTGACATCGAAGGAACGTGGGGAGAGGAGGAGGAGGAAGAGGAAGACGAGGAGGAGTTGGATGGTCGAATTCTTCGACCAAAAGCAAGAAAGAGAGGAGGAGGCGTATCAAGTGGCATGAGGCCCACTGGTGCTGGCAGTGCTGGCAGTGGTGGCATTGGTGGCAGTCGCACTGCCAGTAACGGTGCCATGGGTGCCTGTGGTAGTGCCGGTGGTGGTGGAGGTGGTGTTGGTGCTCGTGCTGCTGTCGGTCCGTATCTGGCTTTGAAAGATGCGGTCTGGATGTTTGAAGCTGTAACCGCAGAGGCGATGACGATGCTGGATTGGAATAGAGCGAGCATGGAGCAAGCGACTCTGCAGCGCATCGAAGGGGGTTCAAGGCAGGAGCATGAGGTCACAGCAGAGAAAGAGGAGGGGGTGCAGCGCCCTGCTCAGGGCCCGATGGGCCTGTTGAGAGCAGCAGAGGAGGCTGTGGGTGGTGTTGGTGTTGCGGGGGCGGTGGGGTTAGAGCGAGGTGCGGGGAGGGGTGGGGGAGATGGGCTTTCGAGTGAGGGGGTGCGAGCGGTGGTGGTGATAGGGAAGCAGATGCCGTCTGCATCGGTGGCTAACCACCAGTCGTTTGTGTACCTGCTGTGCCGCCCTGATGGGAGGTTCTATGTGGGCGAGGTGCGTGTGTGCGTGGGTTGTTGGTGGGTGGGTGGGTGGGCTTCTGGTGTATGGTGGTTCTGAAATCGGCTCAAGAATCAGTTTCATTTGGGCGAGGTGCGTTGGTTGGCTTGTTGGTGGGTGTGCTTCTGATACAGAACAGACTTCGTGTGATGTGCCTCAACAGAGTCATCTTCTTATGTGTACCTGCTGTGTCGCCCCGACGGGACACAGCAGGTACACATAGAACCTCCCATCAACCAATTTTGCAGCGCCTCAGAAGAAGATACATGCAAGGCGCCTCAGAAGAAGATACATGCAAGGCGCCTCAGAAGAAGATACATGCAAGGCGCCTCAGAAGAAGATACATGCAAGGCGCCTCAAAAGAAGATACATGCAAGGCGCCTCAAAAGAAGATACATGCAAGGCGCCTCAGAAGAAGATACATGCAAGGCGCCTCAGAAGAAGATACATGCAAGGCGCGTCAAAAGGAATCATTTCAAGCGCCTCAAAAGGAAATATCACTCACGCGGATGTAGTCAGTGAACTCTCCCAGCAGCCCCTGCCTCTCCTGGCTCCCGGTTACCAACCTCCCTCCCCCATCCCTCCCCGCGTCGCACCCCTCCTCTCCCTCCTTTCCGCCTCGTAGGACAAGCTGATGCGACCATTGCGCGAGTCACCAGCGGCCATCATCCCAGCAAGAGCGCCCTCCAGCTCCTCCTCTCCTCCCCTCCCAACCCCACACCGCACCCCCCCCCCCCCCCCCCCGCTTGTCACTCTTCTGACCCCCTTTTCCCCCCTACCCCTCAGCCATTTTCTCCTACGCAAACACCCACATCATTCCTGTCCCCATGCTCCTTCCCAACCCTCCTTCCCAACCCTCCTTGCCCATCCTCCTTCCCAACCCTCCTTGCTCACCCTCCTTCCCAACCCTCCTTCCCAATCCTCCTTCCCAACCCTACTTCCCAACCCTCCTTCCAACCCTCCTTGCCCACCCTCCTTCCCAACCCTCCTTCCCAATCCTCCTTCCCAATCCTCCTTCCCAACCCTCCTTCCCCACCCTCCTTCCCAACCCTCCTTCCCAACCCTCCTTCCCCACCCTCCTTCCCAACCCTCCTTCCCAACCCTCCTTCCCCCAGACGGACCAGATATCAGTGCGCATAAAGAAGCACCGGGAGAAGAGGCTGTTGCGCGAGGCACCAGTGGCCATCATCGCAGCGCCCAGCAAGAGCGCGGCGCGCTTGATAGAGACGCATGTGATCGCGCGCCTCAGGGACTCGGGCGTGCCGCTGGTGAATGAGGCGGACCAACACCACAAACACTTTGGCAGCGCCGGCGCCCCCGCCCGCCCCTCGTTTGCCCCGCCCTTCTGAGGCGGAAGAATGGGGGTGGAGGAAGTGGAGGGTAGGGAGACACGCGCTGCATACCGTGCACCACGGTTGGAGGTTGGGGTTTGGGGGCTGGGGGCTGGGGCCTGGGGGCTGGGGGGAGGTATAAGGGGGACGAAAGGAGGGGGGGGAGGGGGGGAGTGTTTTGGCTGGCAGCGCGCTTAATAGAGATGTATGTGAGGGTCGCGGGCGTGCCGCTGGCAAACCAGGCCGACCAGCGCCGGCGCCCCCGCCCACCCCATGTCCCCCCCGCCCTTCTGAGGCGGAAGAAGGGGGGTGGAGCAGGGAAGTGGGGGGTAGGGAGACATCCACTGCATACCGTGCACGACTGATGGAGGTTCAGGGGTTGGGGGCTGGGGGGTGGGGGCTGGGGGCTGGGGGGAGGTATGAGCGGAAGGGGGACGAAAGGAGGGGGGGGAGGGGGGGGAGTGTTGCGGCTGGCAGCACCCTTCATTGAGACACACGTGATGGCGCGCCTGAGGGATGCGGTGCGGGCATGGTGCTGCTGGTGAACCTGGCTGACCACCGGCATCGCCACTTGGGCAGCGCCGGCGCCCCCCCACCCGCCCCCCCCCCCCCCCGCCTCATGTTACCCCCCCACCCTTCTGAGGCGCAGGATTGATAGAGGTTCAGAGGTTGGGGAAGGGTGAGGTGGGGAGGGAGGGAGGGAGGAAGAAAGAGGGGGGTGGAAGGGGTTGGAAGGGGGGGGAAGGGGGGATGAGGAGGGGTGGGGGGAGGGGTTCTGCAGGGGAGAAAACGGTAACTGGAACTTGGGGGCAGGTGGGTCCACTCTGGGGAACACTAGGTACGAGTAAGTGCAAGGGGGTACCCATGTTGGCTTCCTTCCTTCCCTCCTCCTTTCCATGCTGCTGCTGATTCAAATCTGGAGTACCGACCTTTTTCTTGGTCACGATGCTGGAATCACGATACCATAGCGAGTTATGGTTGTGAGTCGTGACTCGTGGCACTGGTAACAAATACGATATCGTACATTTCGGCTAAATGTTCAAACTTGTACTGTGTCCGGTAGAACTCCTTTCACCCAGATTTTGTTGGCTGGCTCGCAGGCTTTTGTGCACAGCAAGCAACTACCGTCACCCCCCGGATATAAGCGCCACCCTGGGATAAGCGCCTGGCGCTTGTAATTGGCGTATGGCGCTTATATCCCCTCCTCGATTATAAGCGCATACCCAAATGGCTTACGGATTATAAGAGCCACCATTTGTATTGGTTTTTATAAAGTTACTGGAATCTCTGTAGGGAAATACACTATTTGCATCATGACATTTTGAAATTTCGACCCTTCACCCTCGCGCGACTCACTGACTGCGCGTCCAGTCAGAATGAGCTGTCATGGGGCGAAATGACTCATTATGACTGTGTGTGTTGGCAGCTTGCAAACTTACGCGAGATTCTTGTTCACAACCCTCTATGATCTTGACTCGATTGAAATCGCAATGACAAGATGAACACTTTGGAGTGAAAACAACTAGATTTCATATATGTCATTATATAAGCCCCGGCGCTTATAAAAATCCTCGATTATAAGCCCACCCCCCTACAAAAACATGTTTTATTATACCCCCCCATGGGGGCTTATCCGGGGGGTGACGGTAATTTCGCTAATGAGACAAGGGAACCATAAGGTGGGTAGGTATGGTGAAGCTAGAAGCTAGCTAAGAGTATCAAATCAACAGAATGGGTTTGCATCGACTACAGTATCCTGCTGACTCCAGGAAAACATGCTCCTATAGTACACAAACACAGCAAATAAATTACACTACGCTTCACCCATGCGCACGAACACGCGCCGCCTCACCCATCCTCTCCACCTCCACCGTTCCCTCAGCCCTAAGAGCAATCAGAACATAATTATTCTTCCAGGCACAATGCACCTTCACACACCCTCCCCTTTTCCTTTATCAATCTCCCACACTCACCACTCCCACACTCGCCACAATCTGCCCCATACAACCCTCTCTATCTCCCCCTAGCACGGCGTCTTGCACACAGGGTTGCGGCACGCAGGGTAGTTCACCCCGCCCACCTTACACGTGGGCCGCGGCGGCGTCTTCTTGCAGCACCCCTTCTGCGACCCGGCGGGCGGCGTGGTCGTCTTGGGAATACTCGCCAACAACCTTCGCCGCCCACTGCCCGCAGTCGGCAGGTAGTAATTCGCCTCAAACAGGTAGAACTGGTACGGGTTGCGACTGTCAAACGTCGGATCGATGAAAACATACGCGGCGCGGCCGAGCAGGCCCGAGGGGTCGTCGGGGAACATTTTGACGATGACAACGGCGGTTAGCTCGTCTATAGCCATGGTGGAGGAATCTGACAGGTAGTTCTGCAGGAGCGGTAGGGTTTCAAAGTCCAAGGCCGCCTGCGTGCGGTTGAACTGATGGGGGGAGGAGGAGGGGGAGGAGGAGGGGGAGGGGGAGGGGGAGTGGGCGGGGGAGTGGGGAACGGGGGGAGGGGGGACGGGGGGAAACGGGGAGAGGGGAGAGGGGAGTTGGGGTGAGAAGAGTGGTAAGGAGTATGGGCTGGATAGAAGGGAAGGGGTTGAGGTTGAGAGACGGAGAGGGGTCGTCGGGGAACATCTTGACGATGTCGACGGCGGTTAGCTCGTGTGTGGCCATGGTGTAGGAAAGGAAGAGCCTGACAGGTGGTTCTTCTGTCGGAGCGGCAGGGTTTCCAAGTCCAAGGCCGCCTGCGTGCGGTTGAACTGATGGGGGGAGAGTGGGTGGAGGGGCGACAGGGAAGGGAGGAAAGGGGGGAAGAAGGAGGGGTGTGAGAGAGAAGGGGAGGGGGGGAGAAGAGGGAGGTAGGAGGGGGAAACGAAGATGCGAAAGGGTAGAGAAAGGAAAGTGGAGAGGGAAAAAGGGACGATGGGGAGGGGGGTTCCCACCACCACACAGACCCCCCCTTCCCATCCCCCCTTCCCTTCTCTCTCTCCCCCTCCCCCCTCCCCTCTTTCCCCTTTCCCCCACGCAGATGCGAAACGAAGATGCGAAAGGGTAGAGAAAGGAAAGTGGAGAGGGAAAAGGGGACGATGGGGAGGGGGGAGCAAGGGGATCAGGTGTAAGGCAAATACACTAACGGCTCTCAGACTCCCGTTCCCACCACCACATAGTCTCCCCCTTCCCATTCCCTCTTCCCTTCTCTCTCTCCCCCTTCCCCCTCCCCTCTTTCCCCCTTCCCCCTTCCCCATTCCCCTCCTCCCCGCTCCCTCCTCCCTCCTCCCCCCTCCCCCACGCACCGTGATCGTCACAGTCCCCTGCGGCGGCACCTCGAAATTCGGGTCCTCCCCAATCGCCGCGAAGTCTATCCCCGTTAGAGACAGGCTCGACACGCCGTCGTTAACGAGCGTCATGACGACGGTCTCGTTGTAGAGGTTGGGGTCGGGCGCGGGCCCCCAGATGGAGAGCGCGAAGCCCTGGCGCATGAAGAACGGCGGCAGCGGCGTCTCGTACAGCACGTTATCGTCGTCCATTGCCAGCGTCTGCGCGATCTCCACGCACAGCGCGCCAAACGCTGCGCACGCGCGGTGGGAAAGGGGGGAGGGGGGAGAGGGCGCGGCGGGAAGGGGGGAGGGAGGGGAGGGCGCGGGGGGAAGAGAGCGCCAGGGAGGAGAGGGCGCCGGGGGAAGAGGGGATGGGGCGAGGGATTAAGGGGAAGATTGGTGGGAGGGAAGGAAGCGCGGGCCCCCAGATGGAGAGCGCGAAGCCCTGGCGCATGAAGAACGGCGGCAGCGGCGTCTCGTACAGCACGTTGTCGTCGTCCATTGCCAGCGTCTGCGCGATCTCCACGCACAGCGCGCCAAACGCTGGGGGAAGAAAGAAAGGGGGGGAGGGGGTGTGTGGGAGTGGTGGGGTGCGGGGGGGTGGGGAGGGTAGGGAACGGAGAGTACGGGGGACGAGAGGGCGCAGGGGGAGTGGGGGTGGGGCGAAGGGGCGAAGGGGCGAAGGGGTGAAGGGAAAGAGTTGCGGAGAAGGTATGGTGGGAGTGAAGAAAAAAGAGGGGCGGGGAGGGAGGGAGCGGGAGCAAAAAGACGGGCATCCCGTGCAGCGGCCGTCCCCGTGGCTACCAACAATGGCGACGACGACGACGACGACGACGACGACGACGATGATGGCGACGGCGGCAGCGGCGGCGGCGGCGGCGGCGGCGGCGAGCGAACGAGCGAACGAGCGAACGAGCGGGCGAGCGAACGAGCGGGCGAGCGAACGAGCGGGCGAGCGACGACAAGCGCGACGGCGCGACGGCGCGACACTCACATGCGACGTTGGACATGTTGCCGATGAAGAACTTGTTGGCATTCTCGAAGGTGGTCTCGAGCGACGTGGTGGACTTGAGACACAGCGCCAACACCGAATCCACTCCCGCCTGGCGCGGGGAGGCATTGGGCGGAGGGGGGAGAGAAAGAGCGGTGAAAGGAAGGAGAAGGCGGAGGTGAGCGGACGTGAGGTAGTCTGGAGCGAAGCGGAGGACTTGAGACAGAGGGCCAACACCGAGTCCACTCCCGCCTGCCGGCGGAGAGGCGGGGAGGCAGGGAGGCGGGGAGGCAGGGAGGCGGGGAGGCGGGGAGGCGGATACATCGGGCGGGGAGCGACGGGGGGGGTGCGACGAGGGGGGGTTAGAGAAAGCCGGTGAGGGGAGGAAAGGGGGGACGGAAGGAGAAGAGGGTGGAGGAGGGAGGGGGGAGGTGAGCGGACGTGAGGTGGTCTGGAGCGGAGCGGTGGATTTGACACAGCGCCAACACCGAGTCCCCTCCCGCCTGACGCGGGGAAAGGGGGGGAGAGGAGAGACGGCGGGAGAGAGAAGGAGCGGTGACGGAGGAAAAGGGAGAGGAGAGCAGCGGGGAGGAAGGGAGTAACAGGAGAAGGGTGGGGAAGGGGGAAGACGTGAGCAGAGGAACGGGATAGAAGCTGTCAGAAATCCTGCCAGGAAAATGCATGGGTACCTAGTGCCGTTCCAGGAACAGCTAA